TGCTGATACCAGCTAATGCAGCCTGGAGCCGCCTCATGCAGAGATGAGGAGTGGGCTACAGAGGTCTGGTAAGCTCACTTCTTTCTTACTCAACACCCCAAGATCTTTTTCATTTTTAGACTTGTAGTCTTCAGCCCCAAACAATGCTGACTCAAGTGACATTACTTGAGGCAATTATTAGACTTCACGAAGCTCCCTTCCCTGGAGACACAAAGGGTTTTATACAACTTAATCACATATGCAGCAGTACTCCCCAAGACCTGTAAACTGTCTGTAAAATCAGTTCCCCTTGAACTGAGTATGATTAACGCAGTAAACCTGAAGATTTCAGTTGAATATTTTGATGTATTTAACATCACTGCGCCAGATTATCCATCTAGGAATTTCGGAAACTGTTTCAAAAAAAGGGCGAGCACTTGGCAGGAGATTGGATGAACACTCTATCATCGTCTATCACAGGCGAATCAACCAATCTGATCAACGAACCATATGATGTAATTAAACTAGTCAGGAGAAGAGCAGCCACCATGTGACTAGAATTGTTTTGGTTTTAACAGCTTGAGTGTGGATGTCAAAGGTCACATGGATGGACAGTGACAGCTGTAACAATTCTTCCGCATACTAAAGTACAAAGAACTAATGCTAAGCAATAAAACACATCCTTCCTCAATTTGATATACATACAGGGGTCTTGCTGATACAATCTTTCTGGGTCTGGTATGACCAGTAGCTTATGGTGGATAATGTTAGCAACATTTAGGCACTTATAACTGCTTAATCCACTCTAGTGAGTCAAGCACTTCTTTTCTTGTGCTACCACTATGTGTTCTGGCATTTTCCATTACCTTGAAATTGTCACTTGTGATTACAATGATTGTTGTTCAAAATCTCACTTTAATGGAAACCTACTTAATAAAGATATCCTGTTTCATCAAACCATCTACTGCTGATAATTAAGTCTTCCAAATTCAAGACTTCCCTTTGGCTTTAAAATATGACATTTCCGTATAAAATCCTCCTGAAATAGGTGTCCTCTACTTTGATTTCCTCACCCCTAGTTGCTCTTTCAATGTGTTTCACCTTAACAGTACAGTGCATTTTTCTTATCCTCATAATTCATAAAGCATGCCTTCATAAAGACGAAACTCATCTGAGGGCAGGCTCACACACCACAGGCAGTCTCTGCCATTCACACGGCATGCAGAATAGGACAACTGACCTAAAAAATAATAGACACTATATAAATAATCCAAGGTGTTCCACCTGGTGCTGGTTGGCAATAATGCTTGGTTATTAATATTTCAGTTAAAAAAGACTTCCATACCTTTCTTTCACTTGCACATATTGCAGGCTGGGTCTAGGAAAGCATGTCCTTTCTCGCCTTACAATTTAATACGGATGATCAAATTGAAAATGCTGATATGATGTCAAATGAGATTTTAGAGTGATAAAGAGTATTAAAAAAAACCTCTGTGCAATTTAAATTAATGAATGGCTCAGCAGTCGTTAATTCATATTTATGTACTAAGGGACTGTATACAGTAGGTTTCACTGGAGACAAACTTTCCCTAAAAGCTTATGCAAATTGACTTACTCACCATCCTCCCTCAGTATCCTTGGATACGAGTTATTTTTTTCATTTTGGTCTCCCTCACTGCAGAGCCGGCGTCTTTCAGAGCAATGCACACGGATCAGGTGACGATCATGTGTCTCAACCGGTGTCTGCAGTATCTGCTGTTAAATCTAGTACACACAAAGACACAGATACGCACACAGAAAGACACTGGTGTGAATTTCACGGTGTGGTGAGACATGAACAATTTATCTTCTGGCCAGAGTTCAGCTGGTCAGGAGGGTTCAATACAAGGCCCCACATCAAAGAAAATGTTTATTCACAGACAACAGGCAAAACTCACCGCCCTCTCTCTTGTTTCAAAAAGAACATCTGGTCCTGTGCATATTTGACTCATTAGGGGTTGCGGTGCTTGCTACAACTGTGAAACTGGAATATTTCATTGTTTGAAAGCCTTCCAGATCCCGATGCACTGAGTTAATAAATGATGTCAGTCTATGTTGGAGTCATTTTCAAAAGGAGAAATTAGAATGGCAACACTGATTGTACTGGTACAAGACAATGAGTCAGTGTGGTCACACAGTCATGAGTGAAACGCCCTGCAGGAATCCTAGGCCATCATGTTTAAACTGCTGTGCACTCAAACCAACAGATGCCACCGTTTGTGTGCTGCCGAAGCCTCGAATTTCAGGATATATCCTCAGGACCTGCAGCAGCACCTGTTCACTCTACAGATGGGTGCAAACCTACTAAATCTTTTTTGTTGAACATTTTTAATATATTTGTAAAAAGTGATGTTGAATAAGACAAACTGTATAACTCATGGGCGTGGGGGTGGATGGGCAAAAACGTTTTGCTTTTAATGCTTTTAAGAGATGGTATTTAAGATTTTTTGTCTGCTTGAAAACATTTGTTTACCTGACTGACTCATTTCCCATTTGGGGAACCAGATACAGCAACATCCTAACAGACTGAGGTGTGCATCAGTATAATAAGTCTCACACCCGTTTCATAATAAGCTCCCACATAATCAGCTTCAGTGACTTGTGAAAAGTGACTTGTGAGAAGTCAGTGACGCTGGTTCTCCTCCGTTCCCCAGCCTCATCTGACACCCCTGTGGAAAAAGACTATTGTCCCAGCACGTGTTAAATAAAAAGCTTAAGCACTCTCTCACATCTCTACAAAATGATGAATGCTCAGTGTTCTTTCTGTTCTGCCTTTACCTTTATTATCTTATCAACTTCCCCTTTATCTTTGTGGCGCTCAGCTGCCAGCTGACAGCAGGGTGTCAGCCACTGCAGCACCACTTTCATGTTTCTGTGCGTCTCTTCCTCTGTGATGGACTACACATGGCACAGCTGCATTCTGGTATATGGAGTCTACTCTAACGCCTGGAGACGATAATGCTCAAACATGTATGTATGTATATGCAGTAACTAAAAAACACTGTAACATATGTTTTTTTCTTCTCACTATAACATGGTTTGAGCCGTATTGAATTAATTCTGCTTACTTTTCCAATTACATGATCATATCTGCAGTGTTAATAAAGAATTATGATAGGGAAGTTGAGGTGAAAGCAAAACTACATTTAATGGTTGCATGTGATTACGAGCTGCCTATCTGAGGTCTAGCGATGCGGGACAAAGTTTGGCAATGTGAAAGTAGCAGTACCGCTTCTCAGACATGGCCACAAAAACAGGAAGACCCATATTTATTGTTAGACATTAAACTCTGCTTTTCATTTAGGTTAGGCAGAGCATGTGTGTATGAGTTGTTTTCAATGACTAAAAGAAATATGACAATGATATAGACACTACTACTGTAGATAATACCACCACTCAGCTATAAAAGTGGTGGTATTATTAGCTACTAGAATTATATATAAAGCAAATCATTATACATAGACAGTTGTACATTGCAGCCTGTCTGCTTATTTTCTACTCTGCTGTGTGCAGTCCAGTGTTAGTGACAGACACGCTTCCATGGTGGATGATTTTTTTCCGCCAGAGGCCTACAAACAATTTTTCTTTTGACTGGCCAAATCAGGGTTCAGCACACATTAACTCTTTATGAACCTTGAATTTGTAGGCTACTTCTTTTTTACGCCATTTTCCATCAGTAGACGTGAATAGGAGGCAAAGGTAATTGTGAAGGACTTTGTAGTTGGATTGCATGTTTAAGTGTGTCATATTCAGATGGAAAGTGTCTGCTTGAGCTCATTTGACCCAACTACCTGTTCAGATATTAATAATGGTCACAGTGGGAAGAGTTCATCGACTGGACTCTTCTCACTTCCCCCAAATACCCTTAGTAATAGGATTATAGAAAGGCACCAGGTCCTCCTAACCTGATTCTGCCATTTAGCTGTTACACAAACTGTGGCTGAGTATTGCATGGCAACATTTGGTCTTCAGCTCTTTTACTCTGCTCCACTCCCCCGGGTGGGATGCCATAAGCACTGGTCTGGGTACAAGACCACCAGACAATAGACATTCTACACCCCCACCACCACCAACCAAACCCACACATACACACACACACACACACACACACAAATGTACACAGAGTGACAATTTAGCCACGGCTCATTTAACCATACCCTTTCGTCCAGGCTGCGACCCTGAAGTAAGAGTCCTAACGGGAGTTTTCACCATACCAAAAGGACACACACACACACACACACACACACACACGCACACACACAAACACACACTCAAAACGTAGTTACCTATAACCTGTTTACAGTGGAAACGTTCATAAATGCCAGGCCTTCTATTTATGCCATAGCTGCTTTGAGCGTGTTCGGTTTTACAGTAAGATATAAAAGCCTCAACATCAACAATATTAACCACCAAATAATTGCGGAAATTTCACCTCCTTCTGCAGGCCACAGTAGGCAGAATGGAATGCTCGGGCAGGTCACCACCACGCAGTGGTTGGCCAAAAATAACCCTGCTGCCACATCCTTAAGCTCCACCATTGGATTCAACTGTTCAAACCGTGTGGGACAGAAATAAAGGTCACCTCTGCTTGGCTTGGGAAAGGCAATGTCAAAACACAATAATAACTCTTGCAGCCCACCCACACACCACACCACACACCACAGCCAGCGCACAACCCCACACCCAGCACCGAACACACACACAAAACCACAACCAAATGTTAGTTGGCCCCCTCCGCTCGTGTAATTTGGCCCAGCAGGGGCTAGGTTGGGAGGATGGTTTAAGTTAAAGGGGGAAGGGGGTGTTTTGGTTGCTTGAATGTGTGAGTGTGTACTGTTGGTGTGTGCGTGTGTGTGGTTGTGGTGGTGTGTGGGTCTTTGTGAGCGAGGATGTAGGGGAGAGGGGAATGGGGTGGGAACCAATAGCGTTTATGTTTCTCATAGGACAACAGCCTGCTGTCTTTAGTGCAGAGGAGAAGAGGGAGGGCTGTGTGGCGTGAGGCAGTGCGTGTGCTCAGTGTTTAGGTGAATCCACAGCCCTCTGGCTCACAAGGATAAAGGAGTCTCTCCAAGGAAGACGGAGAAAAGCAACACAAGGACTTTTCCCTCTTTTTATTTTTGCATCCTCTGTCGTCTTTCTTCTCACCTCACTCTCTCACAAGCCACCAGCCGCTGGTGTCTGTATTTTGGCTCTTTCTGTCCTCCTCTTTTGTTTGCTGCATCCATCTGTGTTTCACCTCGGTCCAGAAAGGAGGAAGGAAGAGCAGAGTCAGAGGCATCATCCTCCCCTCCTGCACGCCCAGCCGGTAAGCTGAGCACAACACTCTCTTTATGTTTTTCCTCTTGATTTTACCTCTCACCATCGCTCTGTCCATTTAGCTCCAACCGATGGGAAGGGGGGCATTACAGTCCCACCCTGCACCTAAAGAGAAGAGAGGCTGTGAGCTGGCTTTGCTGAAGGAGGAGGCTGAGGCTGGAGGATGGATGTGGGTTAGATGCTAGACGGAGCCTGGTAGTAGACTGGTGCTTGGTTTTTGAGGGGTTTCTTTGGCTGAGGGATGGTGCTAGTGCCTGTGGGTAGAAGGGCTGGATGTGGAGAACAAGCATGGGTCAGGATCCTGGGGGTAGGGAGGGAGGGAGCATTGAATTTGGCCCGACCACATCAAACCCCCGTGGGGCTGGTCAACTGGGGCTTGTCCTCTTTCACTGCAGTGCTTAGCTAGAGCGGCACGGTCACTGCCACAGTCACACACACGTCTACACACACACTTCAGCAAAGATATTCTTCCTCTGTGCATTAGCAGGATTCCATCTGGCGAACATGGAGTCCAAATATGCTTGTGTGTGTGTTAATGTGTGTACATTTCAGTGATGGATGTTTGGTCACAGGGCATACGTGACCTAGAACCATCACAGCACATGCATCATTATCACGTTGATGCAGTTCTGTGAACAATGTGGATAAATTGCATGTCAAGCACACCTTTTCGCTAATTTAGCTCCATTATCCAACATGAATTATATCAGGAAATGTTAGCATCACTACAGAAGGCACTCAATTTTCTACAGGGAGGTAGGTGTTTGAGGTGTATGTGTGTGCTTGTGCAAGACGTCCCTGCAAACAGCCTGCTAAAAACAATAGCCCCAGATTGCACTGCTGATCAGAAGGGGTGGGTGCATGCGACTGGAGTAGAGAACAGGGAGGAGGGAAGGAAGGAGGGAGAGAGGGAGGGAGAGAGGAAAAAACTGAATGGAGGGATAAATGAATGAGGGCTAAGGCTTTTCAGGACTGTTTCGTTCTTTCAAATGTGGAAAGAAATCTTGTGGAGGGAAGGGTGTATGTGAGGTTGTTGGACAGAGAAGGAGAGCAGAATGGGTGAAGCTACCTACCGTGCTACCGTGTGACTCTGCAGGTCTTTGTGTGTGCAGGGGAGAAGGTGATGAGCAGTGATGTGGATGGAGTGATGGATGAATAGTAAGAGAAAGAAAGAGAAAGCATGATGAAGAACTGTGTGTGTTTGAGTGTGTATAGGTGGGTGGAGAGGGAGAAACAGACAGCAGAGGTGTGTAATTGAAAGATCTGGGCCCTGTCTATCCTTCTGTAATCTACTGACTCTGGTTATAATCCATATGAGTAGATTAAATGATGAGTTACTGCCATGTTGTCTTTTATGACTGACACACACACACACACACACACACACACACACACACACACACCAACACACGATAATTTGGTGTACAAGGAGGTCATGTTGCAGTGTCAGTATCTTATGTCACAATATAAATCACACAATATGCAAGTTTGTCCTCTCTTTTTGAACAATATATCTATACATAGACCATCCACCAATAGCCCTAAATGCATATACTGTATATATATTAGCACATGTTGTACACATACCAGTACTTTTCATATGCACACAGCCATCTAAAATCATTCATAGTACTAAATCTCACTCATCTTTTAAAATGTCTATATGTATCTATAGATAGAGAAAATATATGTTTAATTCTTTGCATAATTTATTAAAGCCATTTGAAACATGCTTCCTCACTGAGTGATATATAGGTTGTGATGTGCACTGTACGGTCATGAATCACAATATGGAGATTATAACTCATTTACATGTATGAATAAACAGCTAGGAGCACTGAAACGTGTGTGTGCTCTGAGTACACCAGTGTGTTAACCATTGTGTGTTTGTGTGTGTGCGTGTATAGGTTTTTTTCAGTCTAAGATGGAATGGTGGCTGCTATGGTATTTACTCCGCTGTTGCTAGGACACTCCCTTTGAACATTTTAACCGAGCCTTTTCATTGGCCTGCCACGATGATGCAAGATTCCCTCACCCCAAATCTTTCCTGAGCGCCCATAGAAACATGCCCGTCTGCATTTCCTCCTCTCTCCTTCTCTGTCACTCTTTGTCTCACACCCCACTTCTCTTCTCTCTCGTTTTTTCTGTCTGTCAGTATCCCTCCTTGAGCATTCTCTCTGTTCATCTCGCCCGCTCAGTCATTAATGCATTAATTCGTCGCTGCTCTCAGTATTTCTTTCCTTCCGAGCCCTTCCAATCAGTCTTCATCACCTCGGTACATTCTGTCACTTCCCTCACCCTCGTCTAGTCAAAAAGCTCACCGCGAAATGCTGTTGACAGCTTGTGGCAGTGTCTTCCAGCACTGCACAACCATTCTGTCCTGCTGTCTTGCAGGGGATTAGTGTACTGTGTGTCTCACAATGTCCCATTTCCTCTGTCCATATGAAATGCAGTATCTTATTAGGTTGCCTTAGCATGTGTCAGGATTATCAGGTTTGACAAGGTGGAAGACAGGAATGGGGGTTGGGGTGTCATGGCGGAGGAGGCTCTCTTTATATTATTTATATTATTATCACCATATGTATGTCAACCTTTTCTCCTCGACAATATGCGCAGTTATTTGAGCCATGCATTCATGTTATCACTGCAATTACCCCCAAGTTCACAACATTTCCCATGATGAGATACATTTCGCACTACAGATGTATGTAATCTTATGGCTCTGGTTATTGCATGTTCAGGGACCAGGGATAGAGGATAGGGGTATGTAAGGTTAGAATGCATGAAAAAAGGAGAGCAAAGGAAAAAAGGAAGGGTAATGTTTGTCTTCTTTGCTGCATCTCTCAATATTTATCACCTGCGAAGCACTGTCAACACAACTCATCAGGTGTAATGGTGTGCAATGATCTTCCCCAGCCTTCACTGAACTAGACATGGCTGAAACCGCAGCATAACGTCAACTGACAGTCTATGAAGAAAGCAGATGAGTGACAGGTACACTGACATGGAAATGTGTGCAGCTACTCCAAAGTGTCATGGTTCACGCCTGATAAAGTGTTTTGTCAAAACATTTTGACACTGAATAGATGCTAATAGGACAGTCTGGAAGAGCATTTTAAAGCCTGGAGTGTACCATCAAAATGAATGTTACAGACACACAGACCTTCGCTGCTTCCTGCATCGTTTGCTGAAGCAGGAGTGTAAATATCTTGTTCCTATCATTATATGCAATTTCTACAGCTGTGTTGCTTTTTGACCAAGCCATAATTTAATTTTGTGAAAGATCCGTGCTTTTTTAAACCTAAGCCTTCCGTGAACATCCTGTATTTTTACATCCTCACCACAACAGCAACAATAATGTGACGGTGGATTAATGCTCTTAATGCTCAGACTTCCAGTGATACATTATGACACAAGAAACAAGTGTTTGGACAACCAAGCATTCAATCCTTTGATTAAAACACAACATCATCCATATGTTTCTCCATGTGGCTCAGCTGAATTCCTCTAAAATGCCTGATAATCCACATTTTAGCTAAACACCCTTAATCTTGTTGACTGACCGACCCTCTGTCCAGCGGTAACATCTGTCATTAAAGCATCTGTCACAAGGTTTCATGCTTGCTGTTGATGTCCCTTTTGTTGTTTACTGGAGTTCAGAAGTTGGATTAGACCTCTATGCTGCCAGGGCTGAAATAAATGTAGAATTTGAGATGTGATCCGTCTCCACGTGGTAATCGTCGTTTTTAAACCAGTATTGTCAGAAATTAGGGATTATTCCCTTAGATCAGAGATGATCCTGTTAAAGGGGAAAAGGGTCGTGTGGCAGAGGGTGTGTAGGGTGGTTGCGAAAGGATTCAGATAGGGACGTTTATATCTATCTAAGTATACTGACTACAACTTTGGGTCAGAGATCTGCAGACAATACCCATGCAGAAATCCAGTATTACAATCTTAGGTTTCTTTAGACAATATTGCAATATTATGGGAAATGCACATATTTTCTTTTTCTTTCAGTGAGTTAGATAAGAAGATTCATTTCACTCTCATAAAACTTCAGCTAGCAGCCAGTTAGCTTAGCTGACTGGAAACAGATGAAAACAGCTAGCCTGGCTCTGTCCAAAGATAACTCCAACCAGCACCTCTGAAGCTCACTAATTAACAAATTTTGTTTGTTTAATCTGTACAAAGAAGTAAATGTAAAAACAAGTTGTCCTTTCAGAGCGGACTTATGTGCCAAACTATTTCTTGGCCATGAACAGTAACTTCCTGAAGTCTATGCTGGTTGCCTGGCTACCTCATAGCAAAGACGTTTTACACTTATAACTTTATAACGTGTTAATTAGTGAGCTTTCAAGCTGTCGGTAAACAAATTCATATTTACTGTACATACATGAGAGTGGCAACAATGTATTGACCTAATTCTCGGCAAGAAGGCAAATAAGTGTATTCCAAAAATGTCGAATTCTGCTTGGTAAGGTAATGTCACTTGTTTCCTGTGCACTTCTGTTAGTATTTTGAAACAAAGAGGAACACGGATCCTTTAAAGTTCACAATAAAACACTTCAAGAAATGGTTATTTAACGGAAAATTAAATTCTCTAATTCGCCATTTCACTTTTTTTTTTAAAGAGGAGACTTAAGACGCAACACTTGCCTAACAAGTTCCAAATTGAGGGACTGTTTAATTTAACACATATCTATGAAGTAACCCACTGAATCAGTGAGAAAATAGATTTAGGAGACAGTGATTTAATTCACAGTGACAAGGGAGCCAAGATCTGATAAGTCTTAGATCATATTACCTAACTCTCAATGTTGGATGGCACTTTTGGAGAGAACTGAAAAGTCTTATTAAACTCTGTTATCATCCTTGTTACGAGTGCCCTGCTGAAAGTCTCTGAATGTGTGATATTATATCCAGTAAGACACAGAGAAGGGCACACAGTGAATACTCTCATGACTCTGTGAGTCTACTTCTAACCGGACA